CTCGAAGCCAAGAACAAAGTTGAGGTCAAGGGTGGACCTATGACAAGAATAAAGACAGCCGGCTGGAGAGGAGGTATTCAGGGATGTCTTGGCCCAGACATTTAGTGACTTGTTGTGATATTGGATTTTTCGAATTATTTCATGTTCCAGTGAGGTGAGTTGGTGGTGATGATAAGGTGAGATAATTGTGATAAATTCTAGCAATTCCCGTTTATTGATGAAAAGTAACAGATCGTGTATGAGCAACGCCGGTTTGTGGAAGGGTATAGAATAAAGTGACAATAAGAGGAATCTTTGTGTTCGTATCGTTTGCAGTCTAATATGTGTGAGTTGGTGTTGTGATGCGATACGTAAAAGCAGTGGTGGTCAGATATCCATCGATGTTCAGATATTTTGGCTGTCGCGTGGACGTAAGAGCGAGGTCTCAAAAAGGCGGGTGACCGTGGTAAAAGGAGGAGCAGCAAACCACCCGCAAACAACGACGAACTTGAATCGGATGGAATCTTTCTTTTTTTTTATTTCATTTTTTTTTCTTCCTCCCCTCCCTTGTCCACCAAATCCCTCTCTTCCTTCCTGTTGCGGACTGCGGGTTTGCGTGCCCAAGACTGCAGTGGGAGACTGAGTGGCTCCTCGTTCGACTGGGATGTGCAGCGAACGGAACTTCCTCGTGAGGAACGCGTCCCGCGACTGTGGGTTCTTTGTTTAACGGTTGTGACGAGGGTTAGCTGTGACCAAACAGCTGCCAAGCAAAATCAATTGCCCAATCAAAAAGCCCGCGTCCCTGCCGTTTGCGGATTCTCCAACCGCACAAACAGGACCCACCAAAGACCGGCGAAGACCCACTTATCTCCGGTTTGTTGCACCGGTGCGCCCGGAATCCAGACCGGAACTCAGGCCGACATGTCATGATCAACGCTCAACAGTTCCAAGAACAGTCCGTTAACATAAGCAATCTGTAACTTTCCAAGGTGCTGCATCAATGCAAATTTTTTGACCCAAATTCACTAAACACCATAAAAGACACCCTAGCAGACCGGATATTCCAAAGTGCTCCTTGCTCGCTCGCTTACTATCTAGGTAGGGTATCTTGGTTCCAGCGTACTGTGTATCCGCATGACTCGATTAGAGTTGGGAGTAATTCCATCGTCGCTTATTCTCCGCAGTCAAGTCCATCTTCTCGGCTTCAAAATTCAGCCATGCCTGTTTCTTTAGGGTTCTGTGTTGCCCCCAGAAGCTCCTTGCCTAACTCTTCTAACAATTCGGGATGGCTTATTGAGCCAAGTATCAGTATGTAGCTGTGTGTTGAGCCAACGCGCAGCAACGACGGCATCCGTACCCTTCACGTCTCCGTCCGTTCTCTTTGCCGGGATGTGCCAAGTGCAGCCTTGTGTCTGCCTGAGTGCTTCGAGCTTTTGCCTCGTTCTGACCAGCATGGTTTGTAGCGAATCATTGACTGGTAGATGAGGCCACATCTCCATAAAATATGCAAACGTCTGCATCAGGACCTTATACTCGGTTTCGCCCGGCTCCCTTGCATTCTCCAAAATACGAGGGTCTAGCCAGGAGTCGACCACCCAGTTTACCAAGCTCAACATCAGTTGGGCGTTGCCCAGACATCCTAGAGCTTGCATATACCGGAATATATGAGGCGCCGTCAGCGTGTACTGTAACGTAGGGAGCTCGAAACATGCTGATGCGCTGCCGTTGGATGGGACCGAAATGGGCCTGACCATCTCTTTGAAAGTGGCATGGAGCTTTTGAGCAGCGAGCCGAATCACTGGCACCATTCTCAAATCTCCGTACTTCTCGGTTGGTGTTGCTGTAGCCATCGCTTTCCTCGTTTCAAATGCCAGTGCAACCGTCGACTTTCGTACCATGAGACTCAGTAGGTCGAAGATGGTGGTATCCAAGCCTTTTGCGAATACCGTCTGCCGATATGCTTTCATAAACACCTTGAGCGTATGCAAGTGTGGATGTGTTGTTCCTTCACCCTCTCTCACAATGTATTTGTCGGTGGCCAAAGCTCGGAGGATCGTGTACCACGGCCGCTTGTCCTGGTGGGCAGCCCTTGCGTTCCCCTGTTGGTACAGCTTGGTGATTTTGATAGCCAGTGGGATATGGTTATGGGAGAACGACTGAGGGTCCGGGTCTGGGTAATTGGAGTGCGTTTTGCACAACAGCTTGATCCACGCATCGAATACGCGAACGGGGAGGGTATTTAGCTGCTCGACATCCTCGGACCACCCAACCAAAGCTTGTCTCGCAATCGCACTGTACCCGCCGTCCAGGATGTATTGTAACCCGGCCTCGATTGAGTTGGTGTTTCGAAGTAGAAGCTCGAGGAGACGGTCGTTTGGTCGGATATTGCGCTCCCGCATTTGTCGATACAAGTCATCAGGAGACGGGGGAGTAAGTCTCGAGATCTCATAGGCGCTGAGGTTACCGTCATGAACTGGAAAAACATAATGTCGCGAGTCACCCGGTAGCAGCGGACTATCTGGGGGCACTTGCTCTGCAAACAGCTTCTCCAACATGGCAGCATACACATCGGCAGTAGGCTGGAGGTTGGGTCGAGGAGGTCTCTGAAACTCCGTCCAGGCCTCCCTAACGTTGCGCGTGGCCGCGATGGCTGTAACCCACGTGGCGTAGACAAACATGTTGGGACTGCTCCATTTGGGTGGTCCGTCAGTCCTGGTCATGATCGTGCGCTGTCGGCCGGGCAGTGAACCACCCAGCTTGGTCAACGCCTCATCAATGGGCTGAGAGGGGTATCCATTTTCAACCATCATGATTCCTGCTTTAGCACTCCTGCTCAGATCTTCTTCACGATCGCGTTGCTCGTCCACTCCATCCCACGACAAACGGTATGGTGGCCAGGTCTTTGCAGACCGAATCATGGCCTTTTCCTCTGCTGGTGTTTTCTTCATCCCCAGCAACACCCTTCTTATGGAGCGGTAGCCGTTCTGGGTAATCAGCAAGTGAGGTCTCATTCTGACAGACGCGGCGAGAAGGACCTTTTGGGCTTCCCAGTTGTAACGGATGTGCTTGTAAGGAGCGATGGGCGTCCTCCTGTCAAGCGCACAAAGAGCGCTGTTAAATATCCGACATCTTATTCTCTGCCATCTCACTGGGTCATCACCTCCAACATCAACGTGGCAGGTCTCGAGGTATGTCGCAACGAGATGGGCAACCGAGATCAGAGCAGCAGGCCATATGGCCGCGCAATGCCACATGAGTCGATACATCATAATCTTGAAGACGTCAGATCGAAATTCTGGGCCAACACGTTGCTGTTCAGGTTTTTGTCTCGGTTCCAGGTAGTGTCGGGAGATATACTCAAAGATGGCGGCGAGGCTCTCCGCTTGGAATATCCTTTTATCGCGTCCAAGAACCATGTTCATGAGAAAATATGGCTTGAAGGTATCACGGGAGACGAAGCGCTGGACGATTTCGTCTCCAGTTTTTCCTTCTAAAATCCATGACCACTCTTCGAGATCGCTGGTGCTGTATCCCTTCATTGCAAGACGCTTTATGCGCCTTGCCCATTCTTGCTCTGTTTCGAGGTAGCTTGGAAGTCCTCTAAGGTGGTAGAAGGAGACTCGAGACTTGCGCCAGTACGCTACACGTTGCTTGAACATGAATTGTGCCAGACAACCGGGCAATCGAGGAGACTTATTGCTGGCAAGAGCACGGAGAACGCACCACTTTTCGAGTGGATATTTGCGAGCTTTGCGCCTGATGAACATGGCCAGCGTCTTTGTAGGCGAAAACGGCGTGAACTTTTTCTCAAAGGGCAATTGAACCCCAGGAACCGGAGGCTCATCTTGAAGTCGTCTTTCACGGCGACTCAATCCCCCACGCGTCGCATGCCACAGTACCACAGACGGATCGGCCGAGGTGGTGGAGGCGGCAACAGACGGAGTGGGCTTGGCCGGTGCCCAAGCATGAGGTACTCTCTCGTGACGGCTCGATTCCCCTTGAGCCGCAGCTCGCTCTAGCACAGGGAACGGATCGGCCGAAATGGCGGCCGTGGTGGAGGCGTCGAGAGACGGAGCGAGTCTGGCCGGAGCCGCAGAGCCGGTGGGGATGACATTTTCGGCTTCGGCGCCGGCGCCAACAAGAGCGGCAGCGGTGGACTGTCTCCGGAAACTACCATCCGGTATCGAAGAAGAGGAGCAAACGGACGACCAAGCGGGGAGCTGCTGCAGTTTCAACAACATGGGACATCAGTCAGCGCTCGTGGCCGGCGACAAGGTACCCAAGAGTGAGAGAGTCATGAGGGTTCCACATATTTACCTGGCAGCACCTCGGTGTTGTCGCGAGTCGTCGGCCTGTTGCTTGCACACCTCTTAGGGCGGAACCTTTAGTACCAGACATTGATGTAGGCAACCAACCATTCTGAAAAGACGGCAGGCTGGCGATGGATTGGAGGGCTTTGCATTGGCGATTTCCAACAGCGTTCGTTTCCTGGCGGTTTTTGGGGGAAATCTGGCTGTTCCCCGAATTCTTTGGCGAGCAGGCGGCGCTCCTGTTGTCCAGACATCCCCATTCGGAACCTGGGCTGCACTAGCGGATGCTACCCCTCATTCCCGTCCCCCCTGGTTGCGTGCAGGGGCAGCAGGCGGTTGCCGACCTATGTAGTTATCGATAAGACCAAGCACCTAGGCGAGTGTACGGGAAGGGTACCTCTCAGCTAAAATGGACGACGGGAGGTCTGTGCTCCTTCACGTTCACAGTTACTGACATATCGACGGAAAGGGGGTTTGGCGCTGAACTAAGTTCAAGTACAGGTACTTCTGTAGCCTGTATATTGATGAGGGATGCTGGGTACTCGATACTGTGTCCTTGGTCAGCCTCCCAAAGTTTCCCCAATGGACAACAGCCGAGAGATTGCATTGACCGTTCGTCATCGCAACACTTCCCAATTGCACTAGTTCATCCACGTCGACGATCCACGACAAAGAGGTATCCGCCGTCCTTCTGCGCCGCGCATCCACAGAATGGCCTCTCTCAAGCGAAAACGACACCGAGGCGGAACCGATTCAGGTACGAGCTCCTCTGAGGCTGCGGCGGCGGCGGGTGGTGTTGGCGCCGCTACCGCTGCTCCATTGGCTTCAGGTTCCCCTGTAACCAGGGCGCGCCGAGCGACACGCCAGACATCGACCGCCCCACTCCCCGTGCTTCCCGACCCGGAACCACCCCGACGGCGCCGACGCCGGGACAGCACTGGCACTGGCCTTGCCACTGACCGGCAGTCTCCCACGTCACCACCACTACCACCACCAGGACCACCACCACCACCACCGCCGGCCCACCGCGACAAGGAAAACATACCGATGCAGTCCAACTCGCATCATGGACATGCTCCAATCATCAAGACTCGTCTGACGCGCCACACCGGCTTTGACTTTGACCCGCCATCATCCGTGCCCACGCCGCCCAGTTCCAGTTCCAATTCCAATTCCAATTCCAGTTCGCATCCTCCGCGACCCCACGCCGCCAGCTCCCACTCGTCGTCCAATTCTTCCCATTCCGGTCCCCGTGCAATCACACCCGCCCGATCAGTCACCATCAAGACCTCGACATCAACAGCCCATCAATCACCCCTCGCACATCCGCACCAGGCGCCGACTGCGTCTCCTCTACGTGCTCCTGCCCCCACGCCGACTACGAAAATCCTCCCGGGCCCTCTCGCCGGAGGGCAGGCACGACACGACTCGACAACTCATGGCCATGGCCGCTCTGCTGCGGGGCCCGTGGTGCTTCCACACCACAGTATAGTCGGGCAAAGCAAGACCATCTCCATGGCACCCTCAGTACCACCACCGCCACAACATCAACAACAACAACAACAACAACAACAACAACAACAAACACATCGCTCACCCATTGCGAGGCCTGGCCCGAGTGGCGGCAAATCAGACAGACCCGAGCGGGCACCCGGCGAGCGGCCAGACCGTAACATCGACAAGGTCGTGTTGGGTGACATATGCTTCCGGGCATGGTACCCTTCCTACTACGGAAAGGAGGTTCTCGGTGAAGGCCCGCCTAGTGTTGGCACGACCATTGCCAATGGGACAAACCCTTCGAATCAGGCGGCACATGGACACCAACCCCACCACCAGCCGCCTATGCTCGACCGCCTTTACGTGTGCCCGTGTTGTTTCAAGTACTCCAAGGAGCTGGTTGCCTGGAGGAGACATGTCTGCTTGTGTGAGGCTCGGGGCCACATTCCCGGAACCAAGGTCTATGTGCACCCAAAAGGGCGGCGGACAGTTCTCGTACCGACAGGGCCGGCTCCAAAACCTGGAAGAGGTAAACGTGGAAGTATCGGGCAGAAGATGGTCGAGGAGGTGATCCAGGATGAAGGGGAATGGAGTATTTGGAAGGTAGATGGGGCAGAGGACATGGTAAGCACCGCTCCCATAGCCAATCTTATAAGGCATCATCATGTGAGGTTGCTGATATCTTTTCACAGCTCTTCTGCCAAAACCTTTCCCTATTTGCAAAACTTTTCCTGGATAACAAGTCGGTGTTTTTCGATGTTAGCGGCTTCCACTACTTCCTGCTTGTCTTCACTCCGCCTGATCCCCCCACGGACCCGGACTCAGACGTGACCGAGGTCGTCAAGCCTCGTGGTCAAGTTGTCGGTTTCTTCTCCAAAGAGAAGATGTCATGGGATAACAACAACCTCGCATGTATCCTCATCTTCCCGCCTTGGCAGCGCAAAGGTCTGGGTGCGCTCCTCATGGGTGTCTCGTACGAGATATCTCGACGTGAGGGGATCATTGGCGGGCCCGAAAAGCCCATCTCGGAACTCGGCAAAAAGGGGTACAAGCGCTTTTGGGCCGGCGAAATAGCCCGTTGGCTCCTCAGTTTGGAGCCGACAGGCACGACACCAGGCGAGGAAACGGTTGTCGACATTGAAGATTGCAGCAAGGCAACGTGGATAGCCCCCGATGATTGCTTAGCGGTGCTAAGAGAGATGGATGTTGCCGAAGACGCGGGTAGGGGTCCTCCTAAGCCCAAGATACACGAACCTAGCGAGGAAGAAGTGGGCACCACCCCTTCGGAAGCACCAGCACCAGCACCAGCAGCTGCACCAGCAGTAGTAGTGGAGGATGTGCCGCGGGTTCGAATCACACTGGAAGCTGTGCACAACTGGGTGACTCGGAACCGCATTAGCTTGGAAAGGACCTGCGATCCGGCGGGCTTCATCGACGACTTCGTCATGGAGGAGCCTTCTTCAGAGGAAGAGGGATGAAAAACCTCACAAACCAAGTGACTGCCGGTGCTGCCTAGCTGATCATACTAGGCGTCCGCAGCAGCTGTTTGTATAACACCATTTCAGCAGGAGACGGATGGCCTGCAAATCCCATGCGGAAAAAAACCCTGCTCACTCGGCTTCCTGCTGGACGATTATCTACCTAGGTTGCGCATTGTATTCTGGGTAAAGAAGCCATTGGCTCGATTTCCAATATGCTTTACGGCTGCACTCTCAAAGGTCGAAGTCTTGGTGACAGCGGCGGAGTCTCTGGTGAGGAAAGGATCACTTTACCAAAACGACATTTGACTATGTTTACCAGTTTGTACCAGCGAGTGAGTTTGCTTCCGGTTTTGCTTCACATGATGACCTTATTGATCTGACAAACCACCAACCAGTACGAACCACTTGCTCCCAGAAACCACAGCAACGGCTTCAGCAAGCCTGCTGCTCAGTTCATTGATGGACATTGCGATGTATTGTATTCATCATAGTCGGTCGGTGCATTGTACCGACAACCTCACGAGATACAATGCGCTACTCAAAGGACCTGCGCCAAGCGACGGGGATCTAGTATGACACATCCCGCGCACAACTAGGGAGTTCATTCCAGGGGTGAAGCGCTCTGCTTTCAGAAAAGGCATTGTGCAGAAGGAAGGTGGCAGCTCTCTACGTCCTATCATTAGCACACTGCTTCACATGTGCTCTTGGTTTCTAGGGATCGGCTACCGAGGACGAGAAGAGAGAGAGAGAGAGAGAGAGAGAGAGAGAGAGAGAGAGAGAGAGAGAGAGAGAGCTAAAGAACGAGTCGAGGAGGCTCTGACAGGGTTTCTGGAAACGCAAAGCTGAAACTTGCGTGAGGGAATATAACATCACACGATGACCTCTTATCTTTTTCCTGTTTGCGCATAGCCCATCATGACAAAATGGCAGAACTACACTATTGAATAATGTGTGCCGGGCTGTTTGAAAGTATTAATATTTAATTACGATGCTCCGACTCTTCTGGCTCCCTATATCACACTCGACATGATAACTGAATATGTTCGTTTTGTCGTTAAACGTTTGCGTGAGCTACCAGCTCTCAGATATCGATGTCCTCTGAAGCGTTGACACATGAGGACGGTCTCGTACACAACCAGGGAGAATATGAAAGGTAGTTACAAGATTCGTGAATACAAACAAACACGTAGATATAAGAAGACGACTCTTTTCAATATCGATACCAAGTGAAAAGTCATGGGAAGACACCGACTGATCTGACTACTTTGGCAGAGCATGGTAGTTTGCCTCATTATCTTTACACGTTTCTTGCCGGAATTTGCTTGACATGTACAATCCCTCGCAATACAATGATGATGTTAGAAAAATACAAGTCGACGTTAACGAACTCTCGAGACATTTGGAACTAGCCTGGCTATACTGTGTAAATGCCGTTGATAACCACGCACGGCAAACCTAGTTTCAAGATGAATTTCGATTCTCTCTCATATATCTAAATCCATGTGAGAATCACTTACCGTTTAGAACTTTCCCCTTTGTTGCGTTGCGTTTAGTGATCATATGAGTTCTTCTCAATATCTCGTTTAACAACAACATTTTGATGTGGAGGAACTAGGTACACTATGGTACACTACGCGAAATGGGTAAAATGCAAAAGCACCAAAATGCACCATATTCCGTCCCCCATGCATTTAGCATCCGCGGAGCATCCGCAGTCTCATCCACTGTGCATTGCCGCGGGCGGGAGTGTACTATGTGTGTAATCCACTCCACTTTTGACTGCAAAAGTCCACGCAAGTGAAAGTCATTCGGGGCTGCGCTGTGCGGTTGATGTTTGTTTGCTGTTGATATCGACATTTTACCTATACACATTGCCGTTTGGACATTGCCCCGCAGGATTAACATGAAGCTCCCGCAAGTTGCAGATGTGCGGCGCGGCATATGTAAGATTTGATGATGAGATTGAGTACACGGCGAGGTTTTGGCGCAATTCAATGTCTATGGATGTGGTTTGTCAAAAGCCATCCAGGCTTTGAATATCTGGTGACAGCTCTTGTCTTAACACATCCTAGAGCCGGACACAAACAGCGCAAGCTCGAGTTTCAGCAACATATCGAGCTATATACGCAGTATACCCTACGGCCTATCGAGCTTTCTGTCGCCACCGCTTCGATTTTTGATTGTGATTATGCGCATGCATGCTTTTCTGCAAAGACACGCGGCGTAAACAGTGAGGAGCGGTTTTATTATCCTATTCGATCCTGTCGTCATCACTAGTGTTTTTACAGCCGATACTGGCTGCTTTCGTTTGTCCCACAGTAGCTGTTTTCCCCAAGGTGCACTATGCGAAAGTTGAGCTTCAACCAATGGCAGTTGTCCATCACAGCTTTTTTAGGTGGGGGACACGGGTTGCTTACCCCTGTCTCGAGTGGATGGGAGCCTCAGTGTGCCTCAGATGGGCAGCAGCCCAAAAATTTTCGGCCAGGATTCGCGGCGAGCTTTGCTTGAGAACTGTCAAGGTGTGCGTGATGGCCAAAAGAACAATACCAACACCAACATCAGCTGTAGACTGTTGACGGGGAGCTTTTAGCTGAAGCTTGGTCATTTTGCCCTGTTATATCATAGTTGGCAGAGAGCTGGGTGTGTTAAATATTGAGCTTCCCAAGCCAATGAGCTGTGCCACAAGAGAAAAAGCTCAGGCTGTATTCCGATTTTGCCCGAAATAGCTGTCCCTGCTGTGCTCCCATCGTTTGGGGGGGATGCTGTGAGAAAAGAGCGTCAACAACAGCATCATCAGCACGAAACAGCAGGCAAAAGCGAGCAGCAAGTCGTCACAAAAAGCAGTGTACCAACAGCCCCAGGTTCTGCCCGTCTTGCCCTGCGTGCCACAGCAATTTTCCCCTTCAAAAGGCGAAGCACTGGGCAAGCTGGGTGGTCCGACCCACAGAATGGTGGGCACCAGAAAATGCCTCCGGCCTGAATTGACCAACGAGAGCCGGTGCTTGGCGGTTTGGAGCCGTTGCCCGGTCAAGCCCGAGGTTTCCTGCACTCGCTGACCACTTGTTCTTCCCGCACCGACGCACTTTTCCTCTCACCTCCTCTTTTTCTCTCACTCCCGTAGTCCAGCTGTCAACTCTCCCCTCTCCAGCTTTTTTCTCAGCCTTTCCCGACTCGTCCACCTAGTATCTCTTCGAGAGTATACCCAACCATAGACAAAATGGCCTCCACTCGTGTCCTCGCCTCTCGCCTGGCCTCCCAGATGGCTGCTTCCGCCAAGGTTGCCCGCCCTGCTGTCCGCGTTGCTCAGGTCAGCAAGCGCACCATCCAGACTGGTAAGCGGTGATTCGGATCTTGCGAGCGACTCTTCCCATCACATCACGACCGAGAACCAGCCATGAGAAAATTTTTCCCCATGTCGCTGCTGCCCGACGATCATCCATCCAAATCGCAGCGGGACATATTTCGTGACGCGGGAATTGTTGAGATTATGGGCAAAAACCAGAGTCTGACATGTTCCTCCAGGCTCCCCCCTCCAGACCCTCAAGCGCACCCAGATGACCTCCATCGTCAACGCCACCACCCGCCAGGCTTTCCAGAAGCGCGCCTACTCTTCCGAGATCGCCCAGGCCATGGTTGAGGTCTCCAAGAACCTTGGCATGGGTTCCGCTGCCATCGGTCTTACTGGTGCCGGTATTGGTATCGGTCTCGTCTTCGCCGCCCTCCTCAACGGTGTTGCCCGCAACCCCGCCCTCCGTGGCCAGCTCTTCTCCTACGCCATTCTTGGTTTCGCTTTCGTCGAGGCCATCGGTCTTTTCGACCTCATGGTTGCCCTCATGGCCAAGTTCGTAAGTAACCTAAATGCCGCATCCGCCGCAGCATGCTCATGGATGCCCAACTGCTCCCCGCGCTTGGACGGCTCTGACGTAACCTGACCTCTAGACCTAAATGCATCCAACCATGGACGGGCAATACGGCGAATCCTAGCTGGAGCCATCGCCTGTACATATGGAGAGAGCGGACGAGCCGGCTTGTACGAAAAGGTTCATGGTCATATGCGGCATTATCCACACCGCATATTCATTGTGAGATGGGGTGAGGGAGTGCATTCGATTCGGCATAGAATTGCAGCATAGACGGAGGAAGGGGCATATAGACCTTAAAGACCGTGGAGTGACGAGCTTTGGCGATCTCTCCGTCTCGTCGGCACTGCCGGCGAACCTGTAAAATAGCCCGGAGCACTCTCACATCGCTCTCCAGGGACAGTTCCATCCACAAAAAGAAACTCTTCCATTGTCGACCAACACACGCGTTCTCCTGAATCCCTGAAACGTGAAACGTGAAATCGAGATGCATGTAATGTCTACAGTTTCCAACATGGCATCTTGGACCTGCAGGTGCGGCAGTCCTGTGACATTCCCCGCATTAGGCGCCGGAAACGCTTGTTTTGGCGCCCGATTCGAGATATCCAAACCTCTAAATTCCGGCCCGGACCAGGAACTTGGTAACGGAGATGTTCCGGGGACTCGGACGGCCGGAGTGGATGCAAAAGAGTACGGACAGACGGGGAACCGGTGATGGACGACCACGGGGCTCTCGGGCCTTCGCGGACGGCGGGCAGGGCGGGCGGAGGCGGGCCCATCCAAGCTCCAGCCACGGGAGGTGAGCAACTTTCTTTCGGTCGGGCGGGGCTGGGCCTTCACAACCCCTCCGCTAGCCTTCGCACCATCGACGGGCGGCGAACGAATCCGAGCTCGAGCTGCCAAGTTTCCCATCCATGTGGGCTGGCCACGATCGGGGGGTTGTCTCCACTCCAGACTTGGGACGGAGCGGACGAGAGGTCCAGAGACGGTCCGCGCTTTTTGCGTCTTCGTTTCTTCATCCACCCGCGTGTCGACTGCGACTGCGACGTGCTTGCTGCCGTGCCCGTACATAGCTCGCTAGCTTCGAGGCCAGGGTTGGGACTTGTGGCGATGTGTGGATGAGCGAGTGAGAGTACCCACATTATCGATGGCCCACTTTCAACCTTTCGTGGACTAGTGGAGTCATTTTGGGCGGCTGGCGATGTGACGTCCGATGATGTGTTGTTGGTGTTTTATTCGGGACTTCAGTTGTTATTGAAATGATTTGTTCATGGTTCGCGTATCTGATGTTTCGGCATGATTTTGAAATGAGAGGAGAATGTGATGAAGATGAATTGAGAAAGAAGTGACAGACACAACAGACAGCGGAATACAAAGTAATTGTCGTAAATAAACAGTTGCAATCAATGAAAGACAAATTTCAATGAGAGAAACGAAAACAGCCTTCAAGTTGATGTAAGGTGGGAGTTCAATAGTCCGCAGGGGAAGTCAAGTTCAAAAGGCAAAAGGTAACTTGTGTTCTTTCCCTTTTGAAGCAGCTCGGACGAGAGACCAGACGTTGTAATTAAGTTTGGCAGCTGCCATGCCAGGGTTCCTTCTACTTATGCGCTTGCTCAAAGCCCCCTTCTAACATTTTTCGATAGTACACAACGAACACGGTTACGCATGCGTCAAGTTGTAACGCTTTTTCCAACTTCAGAAGACCGGTCAAGCAAGAGAGGACATTGAGCCGTCCCGTTTCTTCCTCCCTGTGGTGTAGCAGAGTGTCAACTCAACACCATGATTTGATTACCCCGCTCGACAGGTGTTACACAACAGCACTTGGGAATGGAACGACCCAAGCGGCCAGCCGGTTCAAAGGGTTGTGCATATATTGCCGTGACCTCTTTGATCTCATAAGGTGCTCGGACATGCCAATATATTGGCTGGTCGAAGAGAGTCTTGAGTGGCAAAACAGTGGACGTTGACGGTGCCAACAGCCGAAAGGGGGTTGTTTACTGCAAAGCTAGGAAACTCAGACCAACCTACCAAGCCAAGATGAACAGCGATGTGACAGCTTGCCGACACCAATCCCACCTGGAGGAAGGATGTGTCGTCGTTCATGGAATCTGGGACCAAGTACCAAAACGCAAAAAAAAGCTGCAAGCAAAGACAGAGTTACACAAGAGTAGGCGCCTCATAGGGCAACCTGCGAGCCCGAATCACCAATAACGTTGTCATTCCCGTCTATAATCTATGTTACTTATTTCATCACGCCATCCAATCATTACAATTTCTACTTTAGGCCTTGACAAGAAGGTTCTGGCCAGTCATCTCCGCGGGCTGGGGGAGACCCATAGCCGCAAGGATTGTGGGAGCAACATCACCAAGGACACCACCCTCCTTCTTGAGGCTCCAGCCCTCAGGGGCGTTGGCCATGATGAAGGGCACCTTGTTGGTAGTGTGGGAGGTCTTGGGCTTGCCGTCAGGGAACTTCATCTCCTCAGCGTTACCGTGGTCCGAGGTGATGAAGAGGATGTAACCCTCCTTCTTGCAGCCCTCGAGAATCTTGCCAATGGCCTTGTCGGTAGCAGCGCAACCAACAATGGCAGCCTCGTAGACACCGGTGTGGCCAACCATGTCAGGAGGAGCAAAGTTGTTCATGACGAAGGGGAACTCCTGCTCACCGAGACGCTTGACGACCTGGTTAGCAACACCATCGGCGCTCATCTCAGGAGCCTTGTCGTAAGTCGCGACGCTCTTGTTGGAGGGAACGAGATCCTGGCTCTCATCACGGGTCTCGAGAGGGAAGACCTTCTCGACACCACCGTTGAAGAAGAAGGTGACGTGGGCGTACTTCTCGGTCTCGGCAATGTGGACCTGCTTGACACCCTGCTTGCCGAGCCACTCGGCGAGCACGTTGTCCATTTGCTGGGGCTTAAAGGCAACCTCGAAGGGATAGTCGAGCTTGTACTGGGTCATGGTGACGAGCTTGATGTTGGGGAAGGGGAAGTCGGGCAGGGGCGAGCGGTCAACACCACCCAAGAGCTGAGTGATCTGGCGGACACGGTCGGAGCGGTAGTTGAAGAAGAAGACGGTATCGTCCTCCTTGATGCGGCGCTCATCGCCACCAACGATGATGGGCTTGAGGAACTCGTCGTTCTCGCCCTTCTCGTAGCGCTCCTTGATCGTCTTGACGGGGTCGGTGCTCTCCTCACCCTCGCCGAGGATCATGCCCTTGAGGGCAACCTCGACACGCTCCCATCTCTTATCGCGATCCATGGCATAGTAGCGACCGACAACCGTGGCAAGCTCACCAATGCCAATCTCCTTGATGGTGTCGAGGAGCTCCTGCATGTAGCCAGCGCCGGACTTGGGGTCGGTGTCGCGGCCATCGCCAAAGAAGTGGATGAAGACCTTGGGGACGCCAGCCTCCTTGGCAGCCTTGAGCAGGGCATAGAGATGAGTCTGCTTGGAGTGCTATGGGAAGAGAACTGTCAGCAATTGTGCAGACTACTAACAATCATCTGCTGTTCCGTGGACATTGATTACTTACAACACCGCCGTGGGAGACGAGACCGCAGAGGTGGAGGCGGCCGTTGCCGTTCTTCGCCCTCTCAAAGGTGGCCTTGATGACCTCGTTCTGGCTGAGCTCTCCCTTCTTGATAGTCTGATCGATACGGACAACGTCTTGCCAGACGACACGGCCGGCGCCAATGTTGAGATGGCCGACTTCGGAGTTGCCCATGAGACCCTCGGGGAGACCGACGGCAAGGGAGGAAGCCTCAAGCTCACTGAAACCGGTGGCGCTCTTGGACAGCTCGTCCATCACAGGGGTCTCGGCGGCGGCAATGGCATCGCCGTTCTTGGGGGACTCCTCGGAGGGAATACCCCAACCATCAATCACGACTATAGGACGATCGGATGAGCATCATGATCAACCAGGCCAGTTCCAGGTAAACTAGCATGTAACACGCGACCAGCGCGTAGTCAGGACGGCGGGCGGACGTACTCAAGCAGGCCTTGTGTTCGGGAGCCATTGTGTTGTGATCTTTTATTTCGGAATATGTAGATGTATGTATAAGTGTCGAAGGAGGAAGCTCTAACGACAAAATCTGTAGCGCAACGGGTTTGTTTAGGAACGGCGAACAGAGATGGCTGGCGAGATGGATGATGGAATTGAGGACAGAGGACTCTGACAACCAACCTTTGTACAATGGCGGGATCAATGGCAAGAGACGGACGGAGGAAAACAGGATCAGATGAGAGTAAGACCACTCGGTGCCCAGGGTGTTGAGAGATTTTGTTGGTGGGGTTACAAACTTTCGTAATCGAGCAATTGGCATCAGGCACTCGATCATTCGGTTGACTATTTCTGGATGTGTCTGCCGATTGTCCGCTGTGTGAGCTTCCCCTCAGGTCGGGTCGGCCCCTCCATTGGCATATGGAACCCCACCTGACGTCGCTGTGGCGGGGATGGAGCTCCGACTGCCATGCCACTGTTCCCCAGCAGGTCCCCAGCAGGTCCCCAGCAGGTCCCTAGCAGCAAGCTTCGCACAGGGGCAGGAAGGACCGACTTCGCAAGGGCCCCTAGACCCGCCCAGCAGGGCCCCCCCGCGGCCGTCAGCATGCCTGATGAAGCAATCAAGGTTGATCTCCCAGGCACGCTGCGGCCGCCGCACACGATAAGCGCAGAACCCCACCGCGCCGGACGGGAACTTTTTAAGGTTAGATTACTGGTACATTGGATTTCACACACTAAAACCCCCTCCATTTTACAATCAGGTTATCGCCGAACAAAAAAAAAGTCAATTGGAATTCCACAATACCGCCGGTGTTAACAATTCCGGAGTCGTCGCCATTACGTACATACACTGTTTTAGTTTGTTAGACTCGGCTTAGTGCAACAACAGAGCTCCTCCAGCTTCCACAACCGTAAGCACGTCAACCACTAACTGCCACCACAACAACAATAAACAATTAACGACGACGACGACGACGACGACCATCGCGATCACCACGGCACATATCCATTAACATATCTCACCAGCCATCAATCACCACCACCACCACCACCACCATAGCCAACACCACCACACATCCAACCAGCTCTCCCCCACCGAACCAAAACACAGCAACAACACCAACAACACCACCAAAATGGCAACCCACATCCCCCCAACCCTCTCCCCCGACGCAATCGACACCCTAACCGAACTAACCCTCATCCTCACCAAATTCCGCGCCGCCCAAGCCTCCGCCCGCTCCGACGCCGCCGCCGCCACCGCCGCCGGCGCCGTCGGTCCCTCCTTATCCTCCTCCTCCACCAACCCCTCCCACGGCGGCCCCAACTCTTCCTCCAACGCTCCCATCAGCACCCCCGCCCCAGGCGCAGTAACAGGCACCACTCCCCTCCCCATCCCTACTACCTCCAACCCAAACGCAACGACAGCAGGATCGTTCAGCGCCAAGGACCTCCCCCAAGCAACGGATAACCTCAAGCATAAACTCCAACGGGCGCGACAAGCGGTTTTGACGCTGCCGGATATTGGGAGGACGATCACGCAGCAGGAGAAGGAGATCGCGGAGCTGGAGGAGAGGAAGAGGAAGCAGGTTGCCATGCTGGCGAAAATACGCGACGAGGGACTGCAGTTTGCAAGGCTGGAACAGAGTAGACGGGATGAGGAAGGGGAGAGGATGATGGTTGAGTAGGTAAGGAAGGCTGAAGGATTTTGGGGGTGAAACGCTCCGACTCATCGTTCTGCCTTCCCTCTAAGTCTAGGCCTTACCATCCATCAACATCACCTTTTGACGGCTGGGATGAACACATAAATTGGCGAGACGGTGTTCATGCCTTCTCTTGAGGGGGTTGTAAGGATGCCTACATTGGACACCGCCATGACTATCGCTACAAGGAATGTCTAACCCAACCGACGCCGGCAACGTCATGAGGCTTCTCGACACCACAATACTGTACACTACACCACTACACGATACAACTCGAGTTCGACCGCAGGAGATACAGATATCACTACCCAGCCTCGAGCTACTTCAGGTTGCCCCAGCCCCAAGAAACCTTCCGGATCGTCTTCAGACTTGATGATCTTCTAGGCTTCTACGCCTCAGCACCAATGCCGACTGTGCTCAAGATGTCATCAAGGCCTGCACCAGGGTATCCAGGGACCTTATCCTTCCAGATATCCTCCGTGATGCGTTGCTCTTCCGGCAGCACGCTCCAGTTTGGCGAATGCTCCGCCTTCAACCACTTGAAGTCATCCACCTGGTCCCACATGTTGGTATTTTCGTCCTTGTCGGCCGACTAGGCAAAGAGAAAAGGCTTTGTCAACAAAATCACTACCCAAATAAAAAATTGAGGAAAGAGACATAGCGGGGAACAACTCACATGAAACTTGGGCGCGGGTGCAAACCTCAACCCCTTACAATCCTCAATAATCGGCCTACTGGCACAATACAGATAAAAATCCACGTTCTCACACTCGTGGATCCGCACCTGTCTTGCCACTACCAGCACCTTGCTGTCACGCAGGCCCGTGATGTGCACCGGCCCATCCACGTGGCCCGCAACGATCAAGCTGCCCGAGATGTTCTTCAGCGCCAAGCTCGCAAACGGTGCGCCGCCGGCACACACCCGCGTCGGAACCGACATGTCCACGATACATCCCTTCATATTTGTGAGCGCCCCAGCCGAAGTTGCCCTGGACGCCGACAGCGGCAGGATGATGTGCAGCTTCTCGTGGTCCGAAAGCGTAATGTCCCGCGCGGTTGAGAAGCTCGGCTTACGGACTCTCGAATCCGTCGGATCCTGTGCAATCTCTTCGTTGTAGTTCTTGGCGGGGAAGGAGGGCAGGTTGCTGAGGCTGTCCTTGTGGTCCTCCGAGGATAACTTTGAACCGTTGGCGGTGGCGACGGCGGTCACCGCCGAGGGAGAAGAGCTCTTATCTTGACCTCCCGCAGGGAGCATGTACCGAGCATCGTTCTTCTTGTCAGCCATGGCGTCTCCTCCGGATGGCAGATTGCGGCGCTTGAACTGGAACCTGCTCTTGGGCCTGAACTGGGCTTGGGCCTCGTTGAGCTGGTCCGTCAGCTGCTTGAGCGCTTGCGAGTAGGTGCGCTGGTCGTAGGCGGGGACATAGTCGGCGGCATCGGCGACTTCGTTGGATAGCCGTGAAATGCCGGTCAGGATATGCTCGATGGTATCGTGGCGTTCGCCTGCAACGGCAGAGAGGTTGGCGAGGTGGTTGATTTGCTCTTGGAGGTCTTTAGGTCCCATCAGTTAGACTTCCTGAAGCCAAGCGGTTTTGGAAATATTAGGAGACTCACTTGCTACGGTCCCCTGGAACTGACGATAGAACGTCTCTTTGGGTGTTTCCTTGTGGGCGGCTCCTTGCGCAGACATTTTGGGGGTGACGTTGTATCTGTCTGTCTTGTAAGCCGTTTGCGTTATGAAACATCAAATCAGAAACCTCCAACACCAGCTTCATTATTAAATCGCAAAAGGTTAAAGAACGTCAAGTGCCCTGAATATTTCTTTGATAGGTGACTTGTGCCATGAATACAAAATGCAGTTATCAACAGCCATAAGACCCGGCTAGATATATGTGTGCTTTTCCTCATTCGATGTCATACCATTTTCCCCTCGGTGATGCAAAATGCCGACGTTGAAAACAGTTGAAACGCAGAGAGAGGAGGAGGAGGGGAATATGCTCACATGCTGGAAATTGACCTCTCTTGAACAGCTCTGTTTCGTACCTAGTATGCTCGTGTCCTTAGGATATCGGCTTCGTTGTGTTTGTGTAAGAAAATAGCCAGTACAAATATAGCATAAATCTATGTGCCCGACGAGAAGTATCCGTCTTATTTTTCGGTAAGAATAACCAGGAAGAGAGGATAGCAATGAGTGAATGCGGAAGCAAAGGTATGAGGTGTGTAGAGAGAGAGAGAGAGAGAGAGGGACACAATCCGCAGGTGGTTAGAGGTTGATCAAGTAGGTAAGTGTAAATAGTATGGCTCCGTTTGTTAGGACGGCGGGATGGTGCCGCACTGTTGGAGTGACCAAGAAAAAGAATGAAAGTGAAGTGTTTTTGGTAGTAGGAGGAGAAGCAGTTTGTGAAAAAAGTACAAGATGGTCCAGTTACCTACCTACCTGCTCAAACTGAAGACCAAGTATCAGGGAAGTCGTAGTCGGAAAGATATGAGTACTAGAGAGGTAACGCTTGCTCTAAGACACGAAGCTGGCTGCGGGTGACGACCTGACTGTAGCTGGTAGAAACCTGAAACTGAAGGTGAGGTGAGGTGATGGCTTCCTGAATGACTTAAGAAGACCAGGTAGAAGTAGGTAGTTGTGGTACGATTGTGTTGTCGTGATACTTTCGAGTGACTGGAAGGCACAATCTTGGTTGTGGAATGCTGTCGACTAGGTCGTTGTTTTGTGTGTGGGGAGAGACAAGGGGCATCACAGCGAGAAACTGGGGAAGCTATAGTGGGGCCAGGAAGGAGCTATAAATTACTTGTAAATAAGGGTCCAGTGCTGATGGCTACACCTTCCTTCCCTCGCCATACCTTATGAACAAACACAACCTTGAGTACCCTATACCTATTTCTGTAGTAATCGGGGATAAGCGATCTATGATTCAGGATGAGGTAGCTAAGTAATCTCTTCATCTTATTTGTGTTCGAAAATATCAAGAACGAACGTCCATGGGTGCGGACTCAAGTTCAAAGTTCGAACAAGTACACATGAATCGCTAGCAACTGAAAATGACATTACGCATCCAATAAGGACCAATATTTACAAGTCAAAATTACAAAGTACACACGCCTTCAATCGAATCGCTATCCATAACTGCGTGACCTCCCTCCGCCATAATTGCTCGGAAACCTCCTCCCGTTCGCCAAGATAGGCACCTGTATAGGCATCGACTTTCTCTTGGACGCCGGCAACGAGTTCACGGCATCCCACATCTCCATCACTCCAGCTCTCTTGGCGGGCAACATGCTGTACTGAAGACTGTACAGGTTCCTCCTGTTGAGCGGCGGGACGAACTTGCCCGTCAGCAAACAGAGGGCCACGCGGGGCGAAAGGTAGTGCTTCCGGATCCGGTTGCCCATCTGGAAGTATTGGTAGAACATGGACTTGAAATCCAGAGGGATAGACTATATGGCAGTTAGCTGGGGCTCTTCAAATGAGCTTTTCATGAATGGGGATTGCCATACCTGAAGAGATATGACAGAGGTCGAGGGGTGCTGACGCAGGGGAATATTATCATTAGAGGTGGCTCCAAAATCCTGGGTGTCGCGAAGCTCGAATCGAATGCCGCCTGGATAACAGTCAGTGGTGATTATTCAGACCGATAACCGCGTATAACATTACACACCTGGAAGTCTTTTCGGATCTTTGACCCGTAACATCAATGCGAAAAGTGGAAAGTGGTTTAGACAAGAAAGTGCAGTATCGAAGCAAGCCTTGAACAGAATGATGGCCATGCGTGCAATCGCAAAGTTCAAGTAAAATACCACCACGGTGGGCAAAAGGAAAAACAGGACCGTGAAGAGAATAGTCCCCACAAGGAGCTGATCGAGTCCATAGTCGCACGAGTCGATGCGGTTTCGAAGGACATTGTGTTTCTTGCCGCGAAAGAGGTGGAAAAGCGACTGGAGGATATTCAACTGCCAGTGAAATATCCTGGCCGAGGCGAGGTAGAAGGAGTATATGTGAATCGTGAGTATGGAAAGGAGATCCGAGAATAGGGCAAGAGGCATGCTTGCCCCCGCAAAACTGGAGAAGCCGATAATCAACACAATACGTGGCAGCATGGGCCGAATTGTCTCGATACAGCCTTTGCCAATGTCAGTATGTTCACTAGGAAACCAAGAGCAGACCAGAAACTTACTCGCCCAGTATTCAATAACCCACAGGAACAGATCACCAAGGAACGCCGCTAGTTCGGTGTTTAGCTTCAAACCTGCCGGCCAGCCCATGAGCCAGGAAATGCTGCTCTGCAATGCTTCGACGGTATAAGTGGTGAGCAGGCGGCTGATCTCGTCGGCCACCCAGCCAGCATTTTCAATGATGTAGGAACCAAACGCCATGCCGATGATGACATCATTGGCAACAAGCCAGAGACTGTTATAAAACCGAATGTAGTCTGGGTGACTCGTTGTGACACTCGCCCAGTCGTTCTTCCTCATCCGAAGCGTGACATACTGCATCGGCCAGTAGCAAAACTGTTGGAGGCGAATCTCAACTTGCTGAGCCGTCGCAGATATGTCTTTCAGAGCTGCATATCTGGGCCGAAGCCGCCACTCCAGTATGCGCAACAACATCTCGGCGACCACCCTATGAGCCATCAAGCCTAGCACAAATACTTTCTTGATGACGGGCAGCACGTAGATGGTGATCAACTCCCAAAGCCATACCAAGACCATGTCGCGAGCTGTGGTTGCCGACTCGACCACCCGTTCTGACACGCTCAAAGCCCTCTTCGGACGAGTGCCAATGCGTGAGACATTCTGCTGTAGTAGCTTTTCGAGCTCCCATGCCCAATTGATTTGGTTGACTATGGTCGCAAGCGCTCGCTCCTTGGGCGACGGGATTCGCTTTATCACCGAATGTTGTTTAAGCTTCTCGACCAGTTTTCGCTTCGTTTCCTTGCTCAAACGCTCCCGCTTCTCGTCATCCTCCTCCCCACTGTCGGCGAAATCCTGCCTAAATCCGTCGTGTTTGTCTCCCAGTGCCAAGGCAATCGGATTAAGTGACATGTACTGCATTCGTCCTGGCAGAGGCCGCTCGAAAAGGATAATCTGAATACTGGACGCTCGAGCACAGGTGACAGAAGGCACACGCTGCTTAGGCGCTATCGTAACCCGGATCCATGATGAGTCGACCTCGACGGTGTCTGGAGTGTTTGAGACGCCCAAGACGCTTATGGACGATTTGCCGCATTGTTCGTAGATGCGGCTGACTGGGTGAGGGGCGTTACGGAGAAGGTTACCGAGCTTTAACGCGCTTTCAACACGTCGAGGCTATCACAGAGTCAGCGCTTTTATCCACATCCATCCCCGGCCAGCTGTAGACCCGGAGGGCACAAACCTCAACCTCTTCCAGTACTGCCACCACGAGAACATCCAAGGCCGAGTTCCTCCAGCCGACCACGACGCCGTTACAGTCGGATCGCGGAAGGTCTGTGGGCCAGAACACGCGCATCAAGCCATCATCCTCTGGCATGACAGATAGCGCAATCGCGAGCAACCAATCAGAAAGAGCCCCTTCTCCTTAGTTGTTCCCTCGCGGAGATACCTGATCCTGGCGATCGCGGATGCTGGACCAGCATTATCAGTATATGGGATTCGCATATCGACTGTTGGTTGGGGGCAGCAGCAAGCTGGTGGTGGTGGTCGTACCAGGTTCGACTCCAAAGTAGCAAGACGTTGTACAGGAATAAAGACGATGAGAAACACAAGGCTTAACACGCCGAAGCCCTTGGCGGCCCGAGTCTAGAGACGAATTGACACAAGGTTAGCGATCCAGGCTGTTGCTGTTTCGGCGCAATGGTGGTTGGCCGGGGGCGGAGTGCCACAGTTTTTCCTTCTTTCCCATAGCATGTGACACTTACCACCACTCCGTAGTTCCAAGCAAATATGGCAAGCTCATATAGGCGAGTGACGAGGTCCCATCGGGCGGTGATATACCCAGCTACGAAGATGCCGAGTGTAAGAACAGAAAAGGGGTGCATAGAGGCGCGCTGCCCCTTACTGTTCGAGCATGCGATCGCGGCAAAAGTCTGGGCCGGTAGATGCTGTAGTCCGATGTCACTTTCCCTTGTGTGGGGAGAGGAAATGCGGGCGGATAGTGGGTGCGGTTATATGAGGAATTGGCGGGCGCTGTAATGGAAGGGGAAAAACAATACTCGACGGTTCGAAGAAGTTGGATTAGGTAAGTCGAAGTCAAAGCTGGTACGGACGGGAAGCACAACGGGATGCCGAAAACTTGTTGATTTGGGACGGGACGGGGAGCAGCGAGGGCGATCAGATGCGTATGTGTCGTGTCGTGGACAGACTCGGCTCAGACTCGCGCTGAAGTTTATCGAAGCAGTTTAGGCAGTATTACAGGGAGTGTGGAGCGTTCTAGTTCTAGCGCCCAGAAGCCAGAGTCCCCGAGCGCAACCCGACCTGGCTGCGACTGCACGGCACTCTGTAATGAACCGATTGGATGTTGGGGAGGATCCACTTCTCAAGGAAACCTTATTTGGAAGGGGAACATTCAACCGACTTGAAGTCATCCATGGCTTCCGTCCATAACAGAGAGCACTGAAAACAACTCAACAGGAGATATAATTGGAAAGGTACAGTCAAACACCAGCGGGTGACGCTCTTGGTACATGGGCTTTGTTCAAGACATGGAGAGTGTGCATAACGAAAAGTCCTTCCACGAATGCCAGGCGATATATACGGAGAAGAGATAATTGGGCAATGTAAGAAGAATACTAGCTGGATTGTTGCGGCTTTGTTCAAGGAGTTGGTCGACGAGTGGTACGGTAAGGTACTCAGACGTCGTCCAGCTCTGGTATTCTGAGCAAGTCAGTCATCCTTTCAACTTTGGCCATGTTCGTAAGCTCAAACTCACATTTTTTCTTGCCCATGTATGTTGAGTCGCTGTCCTTGAGTTCTTCCCGCGCCTCGTCAAGCAGCTTGTCGATGCCACGCTCTTTCAAAGCAACCTGTAAATTGATATATGGTAAGCTATCTCAATGCTAGAGTACAGGCGCTGTATGGTTTTGCGACCTACCTGCAGGCAAGAGCTATACTCCTTGAAGAGAGTGGAACATTCGTTATTTTGTTCGGTACCATTGCCCCTAAGGTATTCTGTCCAGTATAAGTATCACATATGTCCACTGAGTTAGGGTGTCTGTTTCTGTAGACTTACTCTCACTGTACCATTTGAGAAAGCAAGTGTCGTAACGTCTACAACTGGTTAAGATGTTGTTTTCTTTCCATATGAAGGACAAAAACTTACTCCTTGGCCTCGTTGCATTCCTTGGCGAGTGACTGGGACATCTTTGAAGTCCAGAGCTATGTTTTCAACCGTAGGTGTTGGCAACAAAACGACGGGATAGGCTTGGTACGGTGTCCGATGACTTATGGGTATCGACGGTATACCTATGTTTTGGGCAAAAGAACGTATAGAAGGGGTTTTGTGTGATACTCTAGGTGAATATTTTTGGTGGAAAAGACGGTTGTACGGAATCTCAAATATCAACGTTCACCGGTGAGTCCGCTTGGAAACCAACAAGTACCAGGTGCTATTAAACAAACTCACAATGGGGTTGCGGACTTCCACTTCGTCACAGGACGGATCTCAAAAGCCTGGACGCCGATGGATGAACGTTGGTGGTCCAGATCAGCACAACCTTGGCTCTGGGCAGGTTCCCCCCTTGGCCTTATGTAATCGGTTGCCCAAAGTCTCTCTACTTTAGTGCCCCTACTTCCTAGCATGGGCCATCAGGTACCTCTACCAGCACAGAGCGGGAACAGCTCACTCGAGACCCACTTGATGGCATCCATCGGGCAGCTTCCACTTTTCGAGGTCCCGTTCACTTTGGCGCTTTCTCCACAAGCCACATGCTGGGACTGTCCGCAAAAAAAGTTCCCAAAGAGCAGCAGAACGACAAACCATTTTTGGAAAATTGAACCGGGCTTCCACTTCCAGTGACGTCCACACCACAACAAGTCCAGAACCACCGGCCAATATGGACGGCTCACTGGACTTCAAGGCTCTAAGGGAATCGCTCCAAGCCGCCCTGGTCGCCACGACCCGAACCGCCAACTCAATCGCCAGCGAGGATCTTCAGTTCCAGCGCACCGTCAACCCGACTGTCGGTGGTCAACTCGACAACAGCTCCGGCCGCCTTCTGTCCCTGGCCAACGGGCTCCTCAAATCAACCGCGAACCTCACCGGCCAGAAAGTTGGCGCTCTTGAAGATGCCGACGATGTGGATATCCAATGGAGGAACATTGTCGACGTGATCGACTCGTTGCTCGAGAAAGCCGACACCTGCCTCGACGAGTACACGGGATTGATCAAGCGGAAGGATGCGCCTACCCCCGCCGACCAGGGCCGCGCCCAAAAACGCGTCAAGTCGTCTAACGATCGTCTTGACTGGTCATTGAAGAGAGCCAACATTCTAAAACCTCAGAATAACTTCGAGAGGAAGGTCGATAACTTTAATACCGGTCCTTGGAAGCCTCTGTTGTCGTCCAAGCCTCATGCCAAGGTGTCACTGGAAGACAGCCTGACTACCTTTGTCGACGATGACAACAACACACAGTACGTCTAACTGTCCTTTCCGATATCATAAGAGCATGGTGCTAACATGAATCTCCCAGATACAAACACCCCTACGAAACCGAGATCAAGACGACACCGTATCCTGAGCATGTGTACAAGAAGCGCGAACCCAAGGAGTACCTTCCTATCGATTCGACATCCGCCATTTGGGTTGATACTTATGAGGGCGTCTTGGAGATGTTGGAGGAGCTCAAGCAGGCCAAGGAAATTGCGCTTGACCTGGAACATCACGATTTCAGGTCTTACACCGGACTGTTGTCGCTCATGCAGATCAGTACCAGAGAGAAGGATTGGGTAATTGATACTCTTCAACCTTGGAGGCACAAGCTTGAGGTTCTGAATGAGGTTTTTGCGGACCCCAACATTGTCAAGGTGAGACACATCCTGACCTTCTGCTTTCACTGTATTATCGACTAACTTGACCCAGGTTCTTCACGGTGCTTTCATGGATGTCATCTGGCTGCAGAGAGATCTTGGTCTCTACGTTGTAGGTCTCTTCGACACATATCATGCTTGCGCCGTTCTCGGGTACCCTGGAAGGAGCTTGGGTTATCTGCTTAGCAAGTTTGCCGAGTTCGAAGCCGACAAAAAGTATCAGCTTGCGGACTGGCGCATCAGACCTCTCCCCGAGGAGATGTTTTACTATGCGCGGTCCGATACCCACTACCTGCTCTACATCTTCGACATGATCATCAACGAGCTCGTGGAGCGCTCAACACCTGGAAAGCCGAAGCCTGACCTTCTCGAGCAGGTCCTCGAGAGGTCCAAGGATGTCGCCCTGCAACGATACGAGAACCTTAGCTACAACGTCGAAACCGGCCAGGGACCCCGCGGGTGGTATAATGTGCTGTTGAAGTCCCCAACACTCTACAACGGCGAGCAGTTTGCCGTCTACAAGGCCGTACATCAATGGCGTGACAACTTGGCTCGTCGTGAGGACGAGAGCCCCTTCTTCTTCATGACACAGCAGGTCCTGGCCGACATTGCGCGGATTCTCCCGACCGACAAGAAGGCTCTGTGGAGTATCCTGGATAGCAATGCCAAGGGCCTCAAGTCTCATTTGGATGATCTGTTCGACGTCATCCAAAAGGCTAAGGAGGAAGGTGTGAACGGTCCCAAGATGATGGATATCTTCAAGAGCGAGTCATTTGTCCTTGCCCCCGCCAAGATTGCTGCGGTTATCGCCGACGATAGCGACATTCCGGACGTCAAGGAGCTCAAGGCTGACCGGTCTCAATTTTGGGGCGGCGTCACTCTGAGCTCAGTCTGGGACGGCACGGCTGCGAAGACTGCCAAGCTTGACGACGTGTTGGAAATCACCCTTCCGTATCCGGCCGACTTCATGGACGGATCTGCGGCTGAGATGGAGGTGGATCAACCAGAGGAGACGGTGCCAGAGCTCCAGCCGGCGCCGGAAGAGATGACAGTCAACCAGGAATTCACTCTTAGGAACGGAGGCAAGCGCAAGCGCGAGGAAGAGTCTGAGGAAGAAGAGGAGGCCTCAGATGCCGAAATGGAGGATTCCGCGCCTCAGACCGAAACCGACGTGCAAACCGGTGGCGAAGCCGAGGGTGACGACTCCGACGAGGAAGAAGAGGAGGAAGAGGAAGAGGAAGAGGCAAGCGACAAGTCATCCAAGAAATCCAAGAAGGCGGCCAGGAAAGCGGCCAAGGAGAAGAAGAAGCAGGCCAAGGAAGCTCTCAAGGCTCAGCGAAGGGCAGAGAAGGCCGCCAAGAAGGAAGCAAAAAAGAAGGCGCAGGAAGAAGCTGCTGCTGCCGCTAAGCAGGTGGATGGCGAGGAGGAGAAGGAAGATCAGCCGTTTGATTACTCTCAGGCTGCGTCGGTGTTGCGTGCTCGCAAGACTCAGGAGGACGTCAAGAAGGCGAATAAGAGGTTTAACCCGTATGAAAAGAAGTCTCAGGGAGGACCCAAGGGCGCAAGAGCGCATTACACGGCCAAGGCGGCTGGCAGGACGGCTACCTTTAAGAAGTGAGGAGCCGGCGGGTGAGGAAGATGGCGGGCAAATAGGATAGATTATGGAACGATTAGTGCTGTGCTGGCCATTGATGCCAGTTATTTTTTACTTGGACTATTATTATCGCGGTGCGTTTTAGTATATGCGACAGGAGAAGAGAAAGAGATGGCTTATGGTAGAGACATAGATACCAAGCAATAACTGATGACGGCCAAAAGACGTCGAGTTTTCATCCTGTTCTACAAAACGCTGAGCCACAGAAACACTGCATCAAATTGTACAGAGTCTCGACCGGTGTGAGTATTTATGTCTTTATATATCCTGCATGTTTCACTTCACGCAATCAACTTGCACCTACACTACAGTTTGGCCAAGCTGGTTACTGGTATTCGACTCAATTTCCATTTTCTATCTGATGGTATCACGAGGTATCACGAGGTGGAGGGGATCCGCGCGGCGGTCATGAGAGCCAGTCGACAGACCAATGTAACCTATCAACACCTTTTTGAGATCTCGTGGATGGCGTTTTGTTCCATGATCAAGACGTATATGTATATCTCTCCATTTTGGCATTTGGCAAGTCATGGAATGATACTGTAGTATTCCGAGAAGATACCTACCTATCTACACACATACATACATACATACATACATACCACCACAACTATCTACAGCCTAAGGCGACATCGATACACCAGAAACGATCGAAGCGCCATCAGCGGTAGGTATGTTGTCCTGCTTTTCTAGTCTAGGATCTTATGCTGCCCAAGATAGGTATGTAGCTCAAAGCTCTACCTATCCGATGCTGGCATGCTGCAAGCCAGGGGCGCAGACAAGGATTCCTGTTGCGGCATGTCGCGTGGGCATTGCAGGATTCATTCTAAATAGGTACTTTACCGGACAGATGAGCGGCCTTGCTGATACATAGTGAGGCAACCCAGGCAGTTCCTGCTGAGCATGCCATGCCTGCTGGTCGCCAAGGATTGGAGAGACCAGAGATGGATGACGGTCATTGATGATGGTGTTGTGGTGTCATTCGGGAAATGAGGCAGGGTTCGTCTATGACGGGGCTTGTTGAGGATTCTAGCCTTGCTTCGTTCGGTTGCAGTGCCGTTCTCGTTTCTTTTTTAATGTCGCCCTGGTCTAGTGAACAGGGTTTCGACCTCTTCTCGTCCTTTGGTAAAAAGTGGAAGGGGGGGGGACCCCTGCCTACCCTGCAGTTGGTATCCAACCCTCTCGGCAGGGCGGGTACAGCTCGCAGGGGGGCCCGGGACGGAGCAAGGACGGGAAGCTCAGCGCGAGCCATTCTAGGGTCCCTCCACTAACATCAGATGCCATCTGACCATAACGGGCAGTTACGACGCTCAGCTTGGTCGTCATTTGTTCCATGCTGGATTTAAACTCGTCCATTTGACAAACGGAACTGTCCAGGTGCCTCACTGCGTCTTTTTCCCTGAAACTGAACAATTAGATTGTCACTCCGTCGCCGCCGAAACAAAGGCGGAATACTTTTGGCGCCCCACCTGCTTAGGCAAGATCGGCATTGTTCTTGACTCTTGACTTACTTCTTACACCTTCTTGTTTGTGTTTTTCCCATGCGCCGCCTTTGAATATTGCGGCGCAAAACCGATATAACTACCGCCCTCCTCAAGCTTCCCTCTCCCGCTCACCAAGTACCACGATACCAGCCTTGAAGATCGCCGCTGGACAGCCTCGTCTTTCCAACAAACAAGAGCCATTCACTCCTAGTATTGCTCATCGTGCCATTCCATCCCATCCGTCAAACAGCCTTACAGGATCCCACCTTCGTTTTTGCCCTCCAAGCACCACAGTGGACCCGACCTTGACGTGTCTGCGTGGCAGAGTCCCCGAGGCCGCCTGTACCCTCGTCAGAAGCCTCTCACTTGCCAGACTCGGTCACCGCAGTAGCCTCTGGCACCGTCAACCGATTTGCACATCGAATTACACCGTTCCTCGCCGACGTCATATTTATAGCGTCCCCACCATGGACCACTTTCCGCGACTACGCCCGCATCGGCGCAAACGAGACATCACCGCTCCCAGTTTGATCACCACACCTACTACCACCAAGTCAGAAAGTACTTCTGAGAAAACCGAGTCTCCTTCGGCTGAACTAACAACTCCCACCGCCACTCCTTCGCTACGCTCAGTCCATAAGCTCCGTCCCTTTCGAGTATTTTCACGTTCGTCCAAGAGGGCCCGCGAGTCTTCTCCCGCTTCGCACAAACAGACACCGACTGTCGCCGCCGTTATGGCTTCCAACGGTACCGCAGACCACCCTGCTTCGCCAGCCGAGAGCAAGACGTCGTCAGGGCAACAGCTCAAGAAAGATGGCCGACCCAAGATGCCCTCTTTCCTGGAATTAAGCGAGTCTGGTAAGCTCCATGGCTCGCCTTTTGGCGCTCTCACTTTTTTCCAAGACACATACACTAACAGGGCCTTTCACGTTTTACAGAAATTGAAAACAAGTTCCAAGAAATCATCTGGCTCGAGCGCAAGCGCATCCTAGAAGCGACACAGAACCCCTCACGAGATTTCCGCTGGGCCCGCGTAATGGGACCGCACCTTCGGCAGCTCGACAGATACGGCAACATACAACCCTGGCACAACAACCGAATCAAACTTCAGGTGCCTGAGGGCAAGATCGACTATATCAATGCCTCGCCTATTGTCCTACCCCCGACGGTTCTCACCACAGCCGATGGGGAAACAAGCAACACACAAGAACCGGATCGCTACATCGCCATGCAGGGCCCCAAACAATGTACAACCGATCATGTGTGGCGCATGGCAGTTGAGCAGCTCGAGAGCCCCGGCGTGATCGTCATGTTGACCGAGACTCACGAGGGCGACTTTGAGAAATGTTACCAGTACTTTCCCCGGACGACGGAGGATACCCCACTGGAGATCAATGAGGGGGACGAGTTCGGCGATGGCTTCCGTGCCACAGTTCGGTGCGTAGGAATCGAGGATACTCCGGCCGGTGATGCGATCGAGCTTCGCAAGATGGTGATCCATGTGCACAAGTCGGCTGGAAGGAAGAGTGTGGACAGCAAGAGCAATGGGTCGCAGAGCAAAAGGCAAACCCCAGAGCCGGAAAACGCAACCACCGAGGAACCCAAGATCACGTCGCCTCTGACCCAGATGGCAAAAGAGACGGAAGAGAACCTCACGATCAGTGAACCAGAAGAGACGGTAGGCCGGAACTCTGAAGAGGAAGAAGTCGAAGAGCGCATTGTGTGGCACTTCCTCTACAAGAAGTGGCCCGACTTTGGCGTCCCGGACCTCGCCGATCTCGACAGCTTCTTCACTCTCATGAGTCTATCTCGAGAGAAAAACGCGGGCCCTCACAACCCTCGCATTGTCCACTGCAGCGCGGGCGTTGGCCGCAGCGGTACCTTCATAGCGCTGGAGCATCTCATGCGGGAGCTGGACGCGGGAGTGTTGGAGAACTGGGATGAGCGCACTGCTGGCGTTGGCGAGTCCTTGTCTTCGCCCATCAGGACGTCGCAGGAGGAAGTCATGTCGCCCATAGGCAGCACAAAAGGCAGAGACGATAACGACTTGATTTTCCAGGTGGTCAACCAGCTCAGGGAGCAGCGAAAGACCATGGTGCAGGCCGAGAGCCAGTATCTGTTTATCTACCAGGTGATGCGTAAACTGTGGCTGGATAAGTATGGAGGTGATGGTGATGACTCGAGCTCGGGAGAGAGGGCGGCCAAGAGGCTGGAGGTTGATCCTGGCGATCCCTTCTTTGTGAATGGGTACTCGGAGAAGTAGAGCGACTCGTTGAGTCCTCCCATATTGCATTCGCGGACTAGACCCATGTCCTCATCTTCAGGCCTTCGTGTCTGGGATTATGGCCGGTCGAGTTAGCTGGTTCTTACTCCTGTTAGCCTATGGCTTGGAGCGGGTGCTCAATGAGCCACTGTCGAGGGACCATGGAGTTGAGGAGGCATGATGACGATAGTCAGAGGCGGTTAGAAGACAAACAGCTGCTAAACAGGCGCCTGGTCAAGAAGAAACCATAGACCGTGAGGTGTTACAGGAAAGAAAGAAAGGAAAAGTTAAAGAGCAGGAGAGGAAGGAACATGGTAGGTGAGTAAGGGGCAAGGTACCACCAAGTAACTCTAATCATCTCCTTGTGGACACAAGCATCCGTCGTCTTAGATACCCCCGTTGCATTTTTCATAATGTCATTGCATTGCATTGCTTATTACTCACTTCACTTTTTGGGCACATATCGCGGTATCAAGTTGTTTGAGGTTACAATAATTGCGTGTGCACTCACTCGCCTGCCTGGCCGGTGGTGGAAGGAAAATCTTTCCACAACTCAGTTACATAGCTTGCGCGTCCATTATCTTGTGTGTTGTGATACTCGTCTACGGAACTTTAAGCATGCGTCAACTCACCCCTTAGCGCCACTTACATGCCTACCACAAAGTCCTAAATTGACGAGCTCGGACATGATGACATGACATAAGTCAACCGCAGCGTGGATCGGATCGGCTTTGCGTGTACATATGGCGTCTCTTAGATTAGACTAGACTCGCGCATACATGCGTAAGTACTGATGCATGCCTACCTATTTAGAGGTACGCAAGGTACCAAATGCAAGATATTCATCATACATCCACGGTATGCTATACGTACTTTTTTTTTCGCGCGCGCATGAATATATATACATATATATATAAATGCGTATGTACGTCTTGCTTTTACTCAATTTTTGCTGTTGTTGTGCAGCCCATTTTCACTTCCACTTTCACTTTCTTGGTAAAAAAAACTGGTAGTGATCGGACCGGATACAGGTAGGTAGATATAACGAGCCGTATATGGATGGCATTGCTTGAAAGGAATCGTGTAGAGGAAGGGGTGGAGATAGAGAAGGAAAAAAAAAAAAAAAAAAAAAAAGAAAATGGAGGGTAAAGTAAGTCAACCAAATCTACCCCGAGCTCTACAGTATAGTAACTCATGGTCCGTGGCTTCCAGCTGTTTGGCGGCCATTGCTCGCGGTTATATGCAGAACGTACCTGAACCTAAACCCGTATGTTTTCGTTTTCAGCTACCTATACTATATGTAAGATGCACCACCGTACACGGAACCAAGAATGTACCTACACAAGTGTGGTATGCTGGTAGGTGTCGCGGATCGGATCAGTTAGTTCCCGTTTCGTCGTCGTCATCGTCATCATACCACACCCACCAACACATCGGATCAGGATCCGAGAAAAGCGCGAATCTGTGTTTTCTTGTGTCGGGTGTGGGTGTGGATGTGTGTGTGTGTGTGAATGTGGATGTGATAGCCAATATATCAAAGCCCGTGGTTGATGGCTCTTGAATACCTCTAGGTACCTACCTACCACGGACTGACAAATGCGCAAACAGTTCCGCTTTTATCTACTTTTGGTCGTCAAAAAACGTAGAAATGCGGGAATGGGAACCGCCAAAAAAATAAATAAAAAACATATGAAACATGACTTTTCCATCCAAGACATTGCAATGCTTGTCCCCGTCAATGATGAGAGCGAAAGTGTGTGTGTGTGTGTGTGTGTGTGCCAAGGGGAAAAAAAAAAAAAAAAAAATAGAAACGGGAAACGAGAACAGGGGTTACCACTACGTTTCTTCTAGCCTGAACATGAACATGAACATCGGACCGTAGCCCGTGGCTAAACAAAAGTGTTATGTTGACCGACGTTGTTCAAGCCAACGAACCAAGCTTTTGGTTGATCGGTCAGGTCAGCTGGGCCTTGGACAACGTCGGTCGACAATTTAACGTGTCTGGACAAGTAGGACTAAACGTGATTTTTATTTTCTCTTGGTGTACGTACAACTGCGTCCGACAATGCGGTACTTCACTAAAGTTTTATTTGGAAAAGGTACCAAACTCGGATCATATCATTATACGGGATAGAGAAAAAGAGAGAAAAGGACGTTGGACAAGCTTATCTAGTACCTTCCATGTCTTGCCTTGTGCTGGATAACAACAGATAGGACAAGACACGAAGAAGGTCTCGGAAGATGGTTTGGTTGCTTGCTGTTCAAATTCTCCTCCTCTCTCGTTCCCATGGGAAAACTCTGAAACTCGCATGTCTTGCACATTTTACCATTTAATAATGTCAGACAGACAGTGTGACAGTTCGTCATGACAGCCGCAGACTCAGGTCAATATCCGAAAGGGTGCATTCGAAAACTGAGATTGAGTAAAAAAAGACTTGATCAAGTCAAAGTGATGAGATGAGTTTCAGGAGGTACTAGTATAGAAAACGTGTGAAGTCGTCAAAGTCATTGATGGTTGTTGACTTCCAACTCATTGTGGATAGATAGCTTCAGAATAGTAAAAGATGCCAAGCCTTTTCTTCAGTATTAGGGTCATTGGTCAAGTTGAAAACGGTCTAGAACGAGTGGAGTCTCTTCACAGAAAAGAGAGAGAATTAAAAGAAGAGAAATGAGTGGGAAGGATCCAAAAAACACCACCTCTCGTTAATGCCCAAAAGGCGGATGGATACTCCCCATGTGCGTTTGGCAAGGGTCATACACATAACAGTTTCTTTTTCATCAAGCGGAAGTTCAAGGGTCTCGTTCGGGTTCGCAAGTGACCCGGTTATGATAGCTCGCTGAGAACAACATGCCCAGCCCCCAACCCTGTTCAGCCGCGTGTCTGCCATGTGGTGTGGATGTGCTGAAAACGGGCACGGCTTTTGGCAGCCGAAGGCCTGGTCGATCCACTCACAGTCATTCATTTTCGAAGGAGTGTAAACCACGTCCGTACCTTGCTTGGCTTTGAGAGCCCAGCTCGTGTTTGTTGTAGGCTTGTAGCCCAGTTTGGCGAGATGAATAGAGACGAGCTGGTATATACTGGGATCATTCTGCTACGTAGTAGATTGTGATGCCGAGTGCCGATTCGGCCACCACCTCTCTCTCACTGATTATCATGAGAATGAATGATGGACGAACTAGTGTGCACTAGTATGGGTGGAATGGCACGATGCTATGACTATCCTAGTACTTTCGGAGAAGATGGAAGGTTTGGAAGGAAATACCGTGGACTGTGGGTGTTGTCCGTTTGCGAAGAGAGCTCGTGTTGGTACGGAGCTGCCGTCGGGTCAAACAAGACTGGACAAGTCTCACCATGAAACAGTCCGATTGACGGTGATGTCAGCTGGCTTTTGATTCAGTTCTACGGTGAAAGACGAACGAAGAAGAGAAGATGGGTTGGGCCGCAAAAGGGTGTTTGGCACTAGCAAGACGTCCGGGGCAAAGCTGGAGCATGCTCGCCGGCCGAACAAGGGCCTCGGAAATGAGCGATAGACGCCGGTTGCTGATGGGCATGGCTGGTATTGTTGACAGCGGCTCGGTCTTCATCCAAGAATTTCGAACCACGCAATGTTTTGAAAGACAACCAAGTGGTCTGTAAAGTGTAACGCAGTTGAAATCTGACGGTTGCTATTTTGGTGGGTGAACACAACAAATGAAAATGCATGATTGACAGAGTCCGGGCGGTGAAGGAGCAAAAGACCCGGATGAGTACCTTGAAATGCTACCTGCCTACCCTTTCGGAGAGAGACGACGATGCCAGAGGCAGCAACCACCGGGACAAAAGCTAGATTGCGGTTGGTGAGGGTTTGTGGGTAACACGTATGTTCGTCGCAAGGACTCGCTTGTTGCGGAGTGGTGTATTCATCCTGGAGACTTTGGGTCTTGGGGTTCACCGGCACTAGCATGTGAAATTGTACCTGTTGGGGTGAAGAGGGCGGGGCCTGCAAAGTACTTGTACGACCGTGTTTTCGCTTGCCGTTTTGTTTCAAAGTCGAACCGAAAGCAACCTGGAGCCTTGTAACTGTTCATCACGAACCGTAAGTACCTCTCTAGTGTAATAATGGGCCAGAACTGAAGCGGTTCGCATCGACAACACCAACAAGGTTGCAATGATGCTGGGGGCTGCAGAACGAAGCCAGAAGGATGGATGCATTCAGTGGTCGATTTGCAGTTGACGAGACCTGCCCCACCATTGCATCGGAGCGGGTCTCGGTCGTGTGGATCCCCAGGTGTGTTGATCTTGACCAATGCAAAGGGCAGCATTGGCTGGGCCGGGACACCTGGGGGAGTCTGCAACAACCGCCATCCCAGCAGACCAAACCCCAGTGGCTCGACTTCAACCATCACCATCACCATCGGCATCTCATCGGTCTTGGTATGTAGTGTAGGTTGTGAGAAAGGATCCAAATGGGACAACACGTCGGCCCCCCTTGTCGGATGGCCCGGGACTCCGAATCCGGCAAAGCTGTGGACTAACACTGCTGCTGCCAATATCCACTCCCGGCCTTCTGGAAGCTTTCAAAAAGGACCACAGGTACGATCGGCCCTGCCCTGCATCTGGCAGAAGAGCTTGTTGACGTTCGAGGCTCCCGCGAACTCTGCCTCTCACCATATTTTATATGGGAACCCGACGACTCTAACAGGACCCGGCTGGTCACTCATCCCCTTTCCTCACCACTCATACACTATACTTTGACATACATACATAATTCATTCATCCCATCCTCTCACCCTCACTCTCACTCTCACCTGGAGCCCCTTGGCCCCCACCATAGTCGGCAACTGCTTTGGTAATCCCGTATCCCGTATCCCGTCCCGACCCGCTGTCCCCGAGGCACTTCAGTCAGCAGCAACAACAACAACAACAGACCAACAACCCACACACTACGGCGCTAGCCACCTTGCCAACCGAGACTAAAAGTCCACCCGGCGGAGATTGTACAAGTTCAACGGTGTCGAAAGAGAGGGTCTTCGGCCTTTGCCTCCCACATTCTTGCGCCGACTCGCCTCCAAACGGTCTGGACCATCAACGGCAATGGCACGTGGGGCTTTCGCAGCCCGCGAGTCCTTATTCTAAAGGTTAACCGCGCCCTCGATTTACATAAACAGTAAATTAACTTTTCCGGCTAATGCGAGGCGTCAAACTTTTAGCGATTTTCTTTCTTTTCACTGCGCCATTGCCATCACTGGACTAGTCTGCCCTCGGCGTGCACCAACGTACCTCCATTTTCACCACACCTCCTATCAATCCATCCTATATCCTCCCGGCGCAACTTGCCACGGGTTCACGCTGTGTGTGTAAGAGCCAGTCCGGATCTGTAAGACCGGCTTACATCAAACGGCATCAACCAGATATTATCACGGGGTTGTTTGGGGACAATACAAGACCAAACCCGGTGCCTTATTTGGACACCAGATAAGATAGGCCAGACACCATGACGTCGATTGTAAGTGAGCTTTGTTCCAGATTCACCCGAGCGCAACCCAAATCCTTGCCCCCGGGCCCCCTTTTGCTACCAAGTGAGTGTGGCATGTTCAGCCTGATGGTTGTTTCCACTCCAACACCCGGACCTCCAACTTCAACTACCCAACCACAAGCCCAATCTTACATCCTCATCCTCACTCCCACACCCACACCTTCCAACACCAACCAAGTACCTTCTCTTGATGCTCACCGCCTTGCCCTTTGCTCATCCTGCTTGTTTCTTCTTTGATCCTTTTCTGTCCTATCCCATCTCTTCCTGACCCTGCTCACTTCACCGGGACTGTCTTGTGTTCCCCCACGTTGCTGAACCGACAGGCTGGCGCGCTTGCAATTCGAGGTCGCAACGCTTGTGTTTCCTTCCTCTTGTGCTTGCCTGGCCTTGTCTAAGCAAGTGTGGCCGGGCATATAGACTGGCATCCTTTATGGCTAGTTGAGGTAGAGGTAACACTGGAAGTTGAGCAAGTCAGAAAGTAGGTGCCCAGGCCGGGTGTACGAGCACATGATGCTTGCCGTCTCATCCTGAATTTCGCGGCGGCGCAGAAAGCGTTTCTTTAATCTCTCTGTCTCGTAGCGACGGGAACCCCTTCCGGCCTTTCACACAAGTTTCCGGAACACTCCCATGCCAATTGGGTTACCACCATCCATCCCTTGATATTCTCTAGGGACGAGCCACCTCTGATAATCACCACCACCACACCCTCTACTATTACCATGTTCCTATCACACCATCACTACCCTCTCTCCTACTGCTCATGATTATAATCAGCTCTTCATCTCTTACAAGACAATGTTGCCTTGGTTCTGATCAAGGCAATGGATCTCGAGACCGAGACTTGGACCGCGTGTCCTTTGTTCGATTTCGTTGATTTCGACAAGATGCTAACACACACTCCTCGTCTCCAGCTATGTCTGGCGCATTATTGCGACCTTCACGGGCCCACCCCCTTGATGGTCACCGAAGGACTCCCTGTTCCATGCAGCACATGTTATGAGGAGGGTCAGCAACACGACCACAGCAATGTTACCGACCAGCCGGCTCCGAGTGCCACCGCAGCTAATGCCTCGGTCCATGCCGTAGCCGCTGCCGCCGAAGCGCTACGCCGAATGGACCTCGGCGGCGGTGGACTAAGAAGCTCTTCTGCGCCTGTATCCGAGGAGCAAGCTCAGGAATATCGCGCCTCGCTTCGCCGCGTCTCCCAGGCTGTTGGCACTTCCTCGGCCGTTGAAACTCCTCCACAAAGTCCGCAGATTCCAACCGGGCCCCCATTATCGCAACAGGAAAAGCGACGCAGCGATTCAGGATTCCGCAGGACCTATGACGACTACGTCACTCGCCGCGCCGGTCCGTGCGATAATTGCGCCTTGACGCTACCCAAACGACAAGAAAGTAGCAAAGACGCAAATCCGGAACCAAAGCCAGAGCAAGGGCCTACATTACGGACACGTGCTCCCTTTGCTCGCGTGTTCTCTGGAGGAATGGACGAACCATCACCGCCAATTTCACAAACATCCTCATCGATCCCGTCTGAGGACGAGTCGATCACCAAGTCTCGTCCCTCACATCGTCGTGCTGAAACCACGGCCTCACTAGCATCACGATCTAGCAGCAGCTCCGCCCAAGGGGTTACGGCACATACGCACTATCTCGACTATACCTCAACGCACGAGCCCGTTGCCGCAAATTCGTTTTCCATTGTTCGCGCATCTTGTCTGCGGACGCTCTCTCTGGAAACTCTTCCCCGACCTCCCGCTACAGGCTATCCTTCCTCAGGCGCCAACCCGGGGATTACGCCGAGCGCTTCACCCAGCCCCCCGGCTTACGTTACAACGCACAGTGTCGGCGCTGCAGCATCCGGTGGGCCAATATTCTTCGGCGACCCTTCTGCCGGCTACACAACGGCCTACATATTTCGAATTCCCGATGTCCATGCGCGAGGCCACAAGCGCGTGTACGCTTTCCTAGCCCTTAGCACCCATCGTGAGCGTCTTGCCATGAAGACCTTCGGATTCGTCGCTGCCGCGTTCCGTGACCTGGCGACCTGGATCCAGACACTGGCCGAGCAAGAAGCCGAAAGGTCCCTCCAGGAGTCATCAGCCAACAGCCCCGTCATGCCCGGAGGCCCTGGCTACGGAGGAAGCCTGCACTCGGAACCAGCAGCACCCGCCAACCACATTCCCACGGCCGGCGGACCGGGCGGCGGTAGCAGCTTTCTCATGGGCGGCGGCGGTCTGTCCAGGAGGATGGGCAGCGGTTTTTCTGCCTCTGGAGTCGCGCTGAAGCAGCGAGGCTTGGCTGAGCTGGTTGGTCTCCCTGACTTCTTTATTGAGCTTCATGCTAGGTTCGTGAAGCTCTTGCTTGACCTGCGTGTCGTCTTGGGATCATGAAGAAGACAGGAGTCTTTCACCGAAGACGCTTACGGACCACAATCATACTTGAACGAACGATCGTTGGCACCATGTACATATATCCATTCATCCATCCGCGCGGGCTGGTATCGATCGCCACAACATCCAACAGAAACAAAACCACCACCACCGCCGCCGCCGCCACTGCTACTACTATAACCGAGGAGACAGTGGTGTGTAACAATAGCTTGACTTCAATGTCAATGAAGAAGAAGAAGACTTCCACTAACAAAATAGCACTTCGATGACACACAAGACAGGCAGCGGATACGGCAGCAGTTGATATCACGAAATATGCAAAACTTGTTTTATGTGTGTGGGAGAGAGATTAAGTAATGGGTAATGAATTAATGACCTGGCAGAGGAGCGCGAAAGGCTGGGCGCGCGCATAGAAGTAGGGTGAAGCCGACCGAGCAAGCGAGGTGTACGACGAAGAGAAGGGAAGGAGAGAGTAGAGGTAGTATGTGAGGGGGGAAAGAAAAATACCAACCATCTTCTGCATTCGAGATTATTGATGCTTTTCTCCTGGAGTGTTTATCAATGTGGATAATAATGGATAAGCGGAAGCATCACGTGTTTCTTTTCTTTGGGGGGCTGTTGGATTCAACAACAGGCTAGATAGATGGACGGGAACGGGTAGATGGGTGGATAGATGTTTTGGATAGATGAGTAGAAGGTTGGATGATATGTGTGTAGTTAGGG